GAGGGAGGGAGGGAGGGAGGGAGAGAGAGAGAGAGAGAGAGAGAGAGAGAGAGAGAGAGAGAGAGATAACTCACTGGATGGACCTGTTGTGGACTTTCAAAACCATCAAGCCCACCCCCAGTAACACACTTCCTCCAAAAAGGCCACACCTCCTAATGTTTCCCAAACAGTTCCACCAACTGGGGACCAAATCTTCAAACATACAAGACTATGGGGGCCATTCTCATTCAAATCACCACACTTTGGATTGGAGTTTGTTGTTTTTTTTTTAATCACAGAAACCAATACGAAACTGAAACAGTCACTAATAGACGTCTACAGCATTTCCACAGGCAGCGTCCTTGTGGGTCCTGTACTTACAGGACTTACCAGAGATCTGCAGTTAGCAGGCACACACAAGCACCCACCCTCAGCTGGGTTGTCTGTTGGAGGGCAACCGCAGAGGCTGGACCTCCAGCAACGATCAGAGCTCCTGGGGGGGAGGGGGTGCTGACTCAGATGCAGCTGATGCCGTGAGCGGCACCTGCTCTCCACTCACCAAGGCATCCAGGAAGCTTCTTCACCATGGCACTGGGGGCCTATCAGATGCCAAATTCACTTCCAGCTCACCAAGGTGGATTTGGATGTATGATCTGGGGCTCCCTTAAGTCTGAACTACATCAGAGCAGCAACATATTTTGGCACTGAGTACAAATGAAATTTGGAATCTATTGAATTCAAGCTCCAGGAAACCAGGCAGCCTCTGTGTGAGCAATCTACCAATGCTTCCTGCCAAAAGAAGAAAAAAAAAAAAACCCTCCGTCTGCACAGAGCTCAGCCAGATAATGAGGAACAAGCTTGGTCAGAAGCACCTCATTATTTTCACTCAGACTCCTCCATTCACAGCGTGGTGACCGGAGAGCCTCCTGGCTGACAGTACTCAGGCTGGAACCTGATCTCTCTCCCTCTCCTCACTCACCTTGGCCCTCTCTACAGAGGCATTCAGAACTTGCCTTTAGCTCCTCTGACTGGAGGCACATGCAAACGGTAGCTCAGCTCTCGAGACTCTGGTCTCTATAAGGTTGTAGCACGAAGTGTTAGAAGGTCTTATTAATAAAAACAAAGCCAGAGCTAGGTATTGGGGTGAACGCTGAAAAATCAGAGAAACAGGAAAGCCACAGCTAACCTCACCTTGCCAATTCCTCAGCTGATCTTGTTTCCTCAGACTGAAAGCCTCTGAGTCCTCACCCGAATGAATCTCAGCTAAAATGCTGCTAAAAGCTAAAAGCTTAAAGAGACTCACGCCTTGTATATATTTCTGCCTCCTGCCATCACTTCCTGGGATTAAAGGCATGTGTCACCATGCCTGGCTGTTTCCAGTGTGGCTTTGAAACTCACAGAGATCCAGAACTCACAGATCTGCCTCTGGAATGCTAGGATTAAAGGTGTGTGTGCCACCATTTTCTGACCTCTGTGTCTATCTAGTGGCTGTTCTGTTCTCTGACCCCAGATAAGTTAATTAGCACGCACAATATATTGGGGAACACAATATTTTTGTCTAAAATTTAAAAAAAGCTTATAACTAGTACATGAAAAACTATATTCAATAAGTATAAACAATATATACAGTCAAGAATTACATTAATAATGTCTAGTCCATTAACATTTGACAGATTCAGTCCAAAAACTCCATTATATATATCAACAATGTCCAGTCCATTAACATTTGACAAATTCAGACAAAAAAATTTTCATTACTTATCCTATGTAAAACAAGTAGTTCCTTTTTAAAAGTAGATTCAATAATCTCCCTTTTTATCTTATCATAAGCTCCTTACCCTTTATCACCACAATGGCTTTAAGAAAGATGTTCTCCATCCCAGCCCGGGTCCCAGAACCCCTTCCACAGGAATAAGATTTACATCTCCTGGACTGCTCTTCGCATCCACTCAGCCTTGAGGTGCGAAGGACCTCAGTGGCAGAATTGCCTAGAGAACAGGTTGATCCAGGTGTGAAAGTCCGTGTCCAAACTGACCAGACAGGAAGCCAGTCTGCAGCCGGTATTTCTAGGATGGACTCTCTAGCACAGACCCAATGTGTGATCTCTCCCCTTGTACTCCACCAACCGTAAGAAATGGTAACACCTCCCACCCCTAGCTCAGACTCTCTTTCCTCCCTCTTCGCCTGCCAAATCAGAGACTAATGTGATGGTTAGCATCTGCACACCTTTCTCTCATTAGACTCTGCCCCTTACATCCCAGGTTCTTTCTGGGAAGACTAAGGGTCATGCTTGAACATACTGTCACCCACAGCAAAGGCCACACCATTGCCACCACAGCCTGCTTACCGCTTCCACACAATATGTGTTCCTTTCATGTATTCAATTAAATTATTCCCCTTCACCTCAGCCACTTTAGGGGAATCCCTATACTCACATGGCAGGCCCATTCACCACAGAGGCAGTCCACCTCATGTAGAGGAAGATGGGCCAGCCTGGGACTCTCCCCAAGGACATTCTACTCGTAGATGGCAAGCCTTGGTTATGTGTCTCACCACCCCACAGCAGGGGGCATGCAAACTGTCACTACAGCCCAGAGGCACACCATACCATACCACAGGGGAGAAGGCGGCCCCGGTGAACACTGCCCCTCAGAGGGATCTGTTTCCACTGCACATCTTGTCACCCAACAGCAGAGACCACGCAGTCACTCCTGCCACACTAAATATCTGGTTCTGTTTAGGGACCAATTGTGTCACATGGTTTAGACAGGAACAAACATGTCTTCACCTCAGACAGGGCACTGATGACAAGTCAAAACCACCTCTGCTCAGTCAGGCTTGGAGAGACAGTGCGTTCAGTATTTGCAGGAGCGTAGGGGAGAGTTGACTTCTAGGCACATGATGACTTAGGGGCAGCTGCAGGCTCAAAAGACCATTTCGACATGGGGTGGGAGGGGGGGGGTTGGGTCACAAAAGCCATGTCCATGGAGACCTTTGCTAAGCTAGCAGGCAACTCTCCAGGAGTTTCCTTTTCCTTGGCATTATTTATAGAACCTCAAAGAAGGGGGATTGGTGGCCTTGTAACTTGGAGCTTCCTCAGCCTTATAAAGTTCATTAGCTTCCATAGTCTTTTTATTTTTTAATGCATATGGGTATTTTGCCTGTGTGTAGGTCTGAGTGCCACATAGGTGTAGTGCCCTTGGAGGCCAAAAGAGAGTGCCCTGGAAGTGAAGTTATAGATTGATGCGAGCCACCATGTGGTTACTGGGAATCGAACTCAGGTCTTCTGTAAGTGCAGCGAGTGCTTTAAACTGCTCAGTTATCTCTCCAGCCCAAGAATCTTTCGTCCTATAAGCCTCTCTCCTCCCTCTAGGGTTGGAGGTTTCTATTAATAGGAGGTCCCACTCTATGTCCCAGACTGGCATTGAATTCATGACGATCTTTGCCTCCAACTGCCAAGTGATGGAGTTACAAGCACCAGCTGCCATGCTTGATCTCTGTCTGAGGAGAAGCTTGGCTACATTTGCCAACCTCCTTGGTAGTCAGTTGTGGCCTTTCAGTTAAGTTCCCGAGTCAGGACAGAGGTGAATAGGGATAACTAGGGCAGCTACCAGGACAAAACCTGGAACCCACCCATCTAGGATCTTCAATGAGCTGCCACACGAGACACAGTCCCTTAAAGCCCAGGCCAAAGATTCTGTGGTGCCACCCACCTCTGTTATTTCAGTCACAAATGGGGATTTGAAAGCGTCATGGATTGAGAGGAGGCAGTGACAGGAACAGCCACAGTGAGCTTTCCAGGAAGGGACTGGAAAGAGATAGGACAGAAATAAATGCCATGTTCTACTTGGATCCTATCCCAAGACAGAACATTTAGTCAGGGGGCCCCAGGAATCACCGGCAGGGAGAGCGCCGCCGGTTGCTGGTGGCTCTTGTGTTGTCCTTCATCGTAGGCTGTTCTGTTGTGGTTGCTTGTGAGAAAGTGATGCTTCCCTTGGGGCCTGGAAGACCTGGCAAACATCCTTGGCCTGGTGAACACACCAGTGTGAAAAGGCAGAGATCCTCCAGGATGCCTCGGCTGTGATTTCCACTCCTTCTCAGCTGTACAGAAATAGCTGGGGATTTACAATGATCTGGCACCCTATGCTTGTTCCTGAAACAGAGGAACCAGTTCAGATAACATCAGCAGACATAGTATTTTTTTCTTCTGCAGAAACAATGTAAGCAGACTATAGCTGGTCTGATATACTATTTAGAGCAGACTATAGCTGGTCTGATATACTATTTAGAGTAGACTATAGCTGGTCTGATATACTATTTAAAGGAAAGCTCAAAAGTTGCATAGTAATCAAAGTGTCACTGATAAAAGATGTCTTCACACTGCACAGGATAAAGCTTTGTAGGGTGTCTGTAAGTTAAAGTAGGACAACACAGGAATCACCACATGTAAACTCTAACGAATGTACATCAGGTTCCCTAAGATGGGAACCACAGTCTCTCTGGCCGAGGAGAGCCTCCAGGTACTTTAGGGAATCAAGATGTGGACTGCCAGGATGATGAGCTGGGTCACTTCAGGGCTGAATGGAGACCACAGCTAGGATCCTGAGAACTTTCATGAAATGCTCCATCCTTACTGACAGGCTTTAGAATATCTGTGGCTAAACAGACCCCTGGGCACACAGGACATTACCTCTCATTCTCTGGGGCTCTGTGTAGGTAAAGACTGAAGACAGAGCTTCATTGTGAGCCAGACACTAGAATTTATACTCCTGGAGTCAGAAGAGACCGAATTCAGAGTCTTGCAGCCATTTTTAAGTATCTCCATTCAGCCTCTGCCCACATTGTCTCCACGGAACAAAAGCAGCCTGGGACCTTTGAAAGGAGCGTCAAGATGACATCAACTTGGAGAAAGACTGGAATGTCTTTCTCTCTGTTCTGAACATTCTGCTGTCCCCCAATCCTGATGGAGCAAGGGTGGGGGCAGGAGCATAGGATCCTGTCCTGGTACAGGGGGGCCGTGCTCTGAAGGGGTGCTGGGAAAGACTTTCTGGTATTCCTCAGGCCAGGACAACCTAGAGGAGAGCCAAGTTACAGCAGTGATATCCAGCAGTGAAACGCTGTCTCGCCTTCATCCTCACGCCACTGTAAAATCTTAACACATCCAAGAGTGGTGGCTCATGCCCATAATCCCAGAGTTGGAGAGGCTGAGACAGGAGAGCTGCCATGAGTTCAAGGCCAACCTGAGCTACAGAGCAGAGATGGTTTGAATGAGAAATGGTCCCAATAGTCTTGGGGATTTGAATACTCGGCTCCCAGTTGTTGATGCTGTTTGGGGAGATTTGGATATGCGGCCTTGTTGGAGGAAGTATGTAGGTTTGAGATTAAAAAGCCTCTGCCACTTCCGTTTCACCCATTCCTCTGCTTCATGCTTGCATTTGAAGAGGTGAGCTCTCAGCTTCCTGCTCCAGCTCTCATGCCCCCACCCACCGGGGTGGACTCTCACTCTCTGGAACTGTAAGCGCAAATAAACTCTTCTGTGAGTCGCTCTTGATAGTAGTGATAAAGATCACGGCAACAAAAAAGGTAAAATAGTGAATTCCAGGTCAGTTGGGGCTACAAAATGAGACTCTGTCTAAAATAATAATAACGAGGAGGAGAAACAGGAGAAAGTGGAGGAGAGAGAGGAAACTAGTTTAATTAGGTTCACAAACTGGTTCCCCAGCTCTTCAAGGGTGCACCGTGAGAAAGTAAAAAAAAAGACAGCAGTGTGTGTGTGTGTGTGTGTGTGTGTGTGTGTGTGTGTGTGTGTGCGCGTGTGCGTGCACGCGCAGGGAGAGGAAACGAGAGGAAAGGAGAGGAGAGGAGAGGAGAGGAGAGGAGAGGAGAGAGAGAGAGAGAGAGAGCGAGAGAGAGAGAGAGAGAGAGAGAGAGAGAGAGAAAGTGTTTTCTACTATAAATCAGGTTCCCACTGAGCATGATTATTTTCTATCTACTTGCCCACATGTGCTTGGCTAGGAGGCAGCTCACGTCACATCTGCCCTGCTGAGCAAAGGGATATGGTTACATGCAACTCTCTGAGGCTCTCAAGCCAATGGAAGAGAAGACATGTCCACTCTCACAGGCTTTGAAACTGGTCAGCTGGAGCCCGGGTTCCTTCATTGACATATGGGGAAATGAGGCCTGGATAGCTCGACCCCACAACTCCCTCCTCCCCTTGCCTGGACCAGCGTGAAGCATAGTGTCCTCCTTTGGTTGGAAGGGAGTGAGACCCAAGGCTTTCAGTGGGGAAAGGGCTTGGCTGGAAATCACCACCTGGAGGTGTATCTAAAATGGCTGCCGGGGACTCTTGAGGAAGCTGACCTGGGAAGGACCCAGCAGATGCACAGAAGCAGGTGAGAGAGGTGCACAGTACCTGGTGTGGCGCATCATTCACACATATCCTGCTTACTGTCTATAGTACTGGGTTGCCTGTCCTCAGAATGCTCTGGCTGGCCTTTTCTGGGCCAACTAGTAGCCCTTGAGACAAGAGAAAAGGAGGAAATGGAATCGCCAGTGACGAGGAGAGAAATCAGGTTCCCCAGCTCAGATTCTAAGTCACGTTAGGCCCCAGAAGATGCCATGTCCCTCCGATCTCCATGTGAAACCAACACAGATCACAGTTACCATCAGAATTACCTTCTGCATTACACACACACACACACACACACACACACACACACACACACACACACACAGAGTCTTCTTGTCGTAAGCACTATTCAATATTCCTTCTTGCTCCAGCCCTCCTCTGGTAAGAAATAAGAGCCAAGAGAAGAGATGGGGTAGAGGTAGATATGGGGGTCATAGTCCTGAACAAATGGGTACCAAGGAGAAGCCAGTCATTGGATAGCTTCTCCTGGTTAGTGGGTGAGGCCTCCTGCACCAGGAGCCGAGGCTCGGCTTCTCCCAAGATGTATTTGTGCTCCCAAATGACTGGCTGTGGTCCTCAGCAGCCCCAGGCTTAAGACCTTATGGCTTTGGAACCTGGTAAGAGCCTTTGGTGTCAGGGGCAACAGCAGGCAGACCGAAAGCTGGTGACACTCCAGGCCAGCTTATGAGTCCTGGCATTGTGACCTCAGCTGTTCCGCACACAAAGAGGTGGTCACCCTACCATGGCCTAAGCCTGTAAGTTGCATACGACAGTGGCTCCGGTCCCAGGGGCCTGTTGTGGGGAGGTTGGGAAGCTGAAGAACGCCCTGGCTCTTCCATCATGTCGGCCAAGAGGGCAGAACAAAAGAAAACCAACCCGGTAAAGGAAGAATACTGCCAGGCACTTGGGGCCTCTCTGAGCTGGCGCCAAGCAGAGGCAGGACGGAGAAGATATTGGAAACGATCCCGTGAACCTCCCAGTATTTCTTCCTTTGTTCAGAGCACAAAGCAGCTGTCCGCCTGGAATGGGTGGAAATTTGTGCCTGGCCTTGGGGTGGGAAGGAAGGGGCCTGTGATGCCTCTGTGTAAGACCTGCTGCTCTTCAAGACAGCTCACAATCCAGGCAGCCACGGCCTGGATCTAACTGGCCGGTCTAAGGCTCAAAATAAGCCCACTTCATAGATGAGGAAATGGAGGCCCTGGCACTAAGTGACATGTCCACATTGGTATGAGAGGAAGGTGATGTTAGACCGTGGGTCATTCTTGAAACAACCTTCTGGGGCTTCCTTAAAGTCGTTCAGAAAGGTATTCTCTGTCTTCTGGGTGGACACACATATGCTCATTAGAAACAGATGACATGGGCCAGGCGGTGGCCAGAAACAGACACCAGGCTGGGACCACGTGAGCCTGTCTGTACTCCCCTGGAGTTAACAGAGTGGTGGCTGGGGGCGTCTTGCAAGGACAGACCATTGTCTTCCCCCAATCCTGACATGCGGCCAGCTACACCCTGACCCTTCTCTCTCTGCAGAAAAAGAACTCCAGGGCAGTTTGCTTGGAACTGAAGCCAGAGCTGACACAGGTAAGCTGCTCTGAAGCTAGGCCAGCAGCCAGGCCTGAGGTCCATGGGGAGGTAATTAGAGACAGGGCCATTTCCTATCCTTGGTGGCCAGAACCTATCCTAGGTGCTGAGGGACAGAAGAAAGATAAGTTCCTCGTTTTCATAGCCCTTCACACCAGTGACCAGTCAGACACATAAAACAACACAGAACATCAGCTCTGTCACCTGATACATGGAAAGTGACAATTAGGAGACAGGGGTGGGCGGCTGTTTTATGGTTGGGAAAGGCCTCCCCTGGAGCAAGAACATCAGGACTAGGTGCTGGTAGAGCAGAGTGTGAGGAAGAATCTTCTAGATGGCGGGAAGAAGCAGCCTGAGGTGGGAATAAGCCTGGCTACGATTTCCGGTGCCTCTGTGTTTCTGTCTCAATCCACAGATATATGATTACAAAGGATTTAAACACGAAGAGCCAGTCATCAAAAAAGGGATGACGCAGGAGCTGAAGGTCAGTGCCGGGGCCCCGGTGGCCTGGGGACAGATCCCTTGTGAAAGGACGGCCAACCAGCTGACTTCTGAGTGGTGGTACCTGCTGGCACCTGCAGCAGGCGGCATCACTAAGTCCTGGTCTAATATTTTTAACCTGTTAGTTACTTCAAAACAATGTGACTTACCTAGAAGTTGCGAAGGATGGTATAATGAATTCTAGTACACATTTCACCCCGACTCCCTGAATACTCCCAGTTTATCACTGTGGCTTTAGTCTCTGTTTCTGTCTCCTCTACACACACACACACACACACACACACACACACACACCATACTGGTGTATACACACACACACACACACACACACACACAGCCCTTCCTATCGATAGCCTCCATACCTTTAATTCAACCAGTCTAGGGCTTAAAATATTTGAGAAAGCATTGCAGATACTTTCCCATCACTTCTGAGACAAGACAGAAGAACAATCATTTGCATATCAATTTGCATAGCATTTACCCGGCATGTCCAATGTAAGTGATCCGTGGGTCGTTTAAAGCACCCGGGAGGGTGTGCACAGGATGTAGGGGATGTTGGTGTTGGCAAATTTGGTGTATCTGCAGGTTTCCTGAAACCAATTCCTCTCAGATACTGAGGAACTGCTGTGGGTACTTCCTAGTCTCCCCTTTTCTGGATCATGGGTGACTGTATCTCCCTTTCCTGGGCTCTTCCCTTGACCTTCATCACAGAGGGCCCTGAAACCAATCCTCCAAGGATACCCAGAATGACTGATTGCACGCACTCTCTGGACCATTTGGAAGTTAAGTTTACCCAAATCTTTAATACGTATTTTTGTGTGTGTGTGTGTGTGTGTGTGTGTGTGTGTGTGTGTGTGTGTGTGTGTGTGCCTGCGCGCACGCACAGAAACCAGGAGAGGGCATCAGATCCCCGTGCCGTTTGATTTAGAAGCAGTTATGGGTCTCCAGATGTTGATGTTGGGAGTGGAAGTCAGGTCCTCTGGAAGAGCGAGCATTCCGAACAGCCAAGACATCTCCCAGCCCCATCACGTCTCTTTAGTGTGGATTACGTTCTCAGCATTTATCTTACCTGGCTACCAACAGTTTTGAAGATTTATTTTCCTGACGGCGCCTTACTTTCTACTTACCTGCCTTCTTTAGATTTAGGCTGAGGATTTAGGCAAGCCTTCCGAAGTCATGCTCTTTTCAGTGTGTCTCTTCTACAGGTCTCCCAGCCCCACTGATTCAACACCACCCGTTTCCTTTCCTTATTTGGCAGAGCCCGAGGCCCTGTCCTTGGTGACTCTTAAGAGATGTCTCCATTGTGTTTCTCTCACGGTTATTTCCTCAGAATGAACTCAGGGAGGTGAGAGAAGAACTCAAGGAAAAAATGGAAGAGATAAAACAGGTAACATGATAAGGCTTCAGCAAGAGAAGGAAAGCAGAGCTTTTAGGGAAAACGTAATTGCTAACGCTGACTAGCAAAGGAAATCAGGAATTGTGTAGGAAAAACAACCTAACTCACACCTGGTCTCCTACAGTGTTTCAGCCTTGGACAGCGTAGAACATTGATTTCTTACTTCTTGCCTAAGCCCGTTTTTTTCAATCAATTAAGAATTCCCTAATGAAGTTGGGCAGTGGTGGCGCACACCTTTAATCCCAGCACTCAGGAGGCAGAGCCAGGCGAATCTCTGTGAGTTCGAGACCAGCCTTGTCTACAGAGCGAGATCCAGGACAAGTACCAAAAGTACACAGAGAAACCCTGTCTGTCTCGGGGGAAAAAAATCCCTAATGTATTAAGGTTGGAGGTGATGTTAACCTTGGCCATAAGAGTGAGGAGGGGCTGACTAGGAATTTGATGACAGTCACAGATCAACTGGATCCTCCTTATGCATCTCCCCAGAGGAAGCCTCACAGAAAGAGCTCTCTTGTTTCTAGGATACAATCATCTATAGCTCACCTCGGGAACAGGGGACTAAGCAAGAAGGAGTAATTCAAGTGTGCTCTGAGCTCCACATGTCCAAGCTGTTGAGAGAGACAATTGGTGGTGGCACCTGTACCCTAGATCCTTCTTAGGCTTCTTGGGAAGAAAGGGACTTATGTAGAGTGTTCCTCATGCGTTCCCAAGATCCAGCTGCCACCCTTTACTCAGAATGCCCAGAAGATCCTGTGGCTGGTTTCCCTAACACACTTTATGTCTTGTTCAGTCACTCTTTTCTTCCTCATTAGATAAAGGATATAATGGACAAAGATTTCGATAAGCTTCATGAATTTGTGGAAATTATGAAGGTAAGCTTTCGCTGTATGCCTTCCGTGGGTCACATGGGAAGTGATGGAAGAGATCCCAGGGCTCTGCCCTTGAGGTACCTATAAGGCACTAGACAGAATTGCAGTTAAGGTGCAGGCTGTCTGTTAATTAGGGGTTTAGAAGAAGTGACAGGAGTTAAGAGAGAAGTCCTTAGAGAAAATCTGAGCCTGAGGCTTGACGATTATGTTGGGAGCTTGATGTGAATGTACCTGAAGGTCCAGCATGATTCCCTTTTGGCTCAGAAAACAAGAAGGATAATTGGGACCACAGAGCAACGGTTTGCGAACATTAGTCTGTTTCAGAATGACTTGTGACCAGAGCCCCAGGGTCACGGTCGATGGGGCCCGAGTTCCCCCAAGTAGAATCTGGAGAATCACTCATGTAAATGCATAAGCAGGCAAAAGGCAATGGCTAGAGTGTTTTCAATAGTTCTAAGGGACACTAGGGGATTACCGAGTAATTAAAATGCCTGACAAACCCACAGTCATCCAGTCAGGGTGGTTAATAATAAGCAGAGAAATGAACGTGAGTGTATAACCCTCAGAATGAATGCTTCTTTGCCAGGGATGGATGTCCTGAGAATGCCCCAGGAGCATATTAGATATCCACACACCCAGACCAAAAACTGAGTAAAAACTTCTTCAAGGTGGAGTTGCTCAAGTGCCACAACTGATTTTAAAGTATACATATGTGTTTCTACATGCATTTGTATGTATTGAGACAGTCTCTGTTATGCACACTGGCCCCCAATTTCTGATCACTCCTGCCCGCCCCCCTGAGTGCTAGGACCTCAGGCACACCACCTCCCACACTTGGCTTCTTCACGAGTGATCTGGATGTGTGCCCTTAGGTGCAAACCAGGTCCTAAACACGTGAACACATCCGTCAACCCTGGCTGCACGTTGGAATGAGATCAAAGAGATCTGTCATACTGTCCCTTTAAATCTAGGCTCTCCTCAGAACTAAACTAGAATCTTTGAGGGTGTGGGCCCAACACTAGAGACTTTAAAATTTCCCCATGGGATTCTAATGGACACTTAAGGCTGACTTTTAACAGGATAAAGGTGATTTTTTTTTTTTTTTTTTTGGTGGTGGTACTAAGGATTGGATCCTGCGGTCTCACATTGCTAGGCAGCCATTCAGCCACTAAACTGGATCCAGCCCTGTGATAGAGATGACTTTTAAAAGTCAGTGAGAAGAAAAGGGTTATGTAGTGATACAAGAACATTGCTTGACTCTGAGGAAAACCCGATTCATTAGATCTGTAAGCTGAACTGATCTATAACATGAATCTGAAAAAATAAAAACCAGTAAGGAAAAGTTATAAATATTAATACAATGGGCAAAATGGCAAAGTACTGAGGAATTTGCCAATAGAAACATTTTAAGAAAGAATTTTGATGGAAAATGCCACATGCAGCATTTAAAAGCAATTTAAGGAAATAGTTTTCCATAAATGTGTTAAGGGACACAGGGTTTATAATCCACAAAATGTGGATCTCACATGAAACAACAGGAAATAAATGAGGAAATGGGCAGGGGCATGATGGAACAAGCCAGAGAGACCAGGCCAAGACCCGAGAGAGCAGAAGCAGCTTTACTCCCACGTGTAACTAAGCAACTAAATAACACAGAGCGGGGGCCAGAGAGACAGCTGAGCGGGTCCGAGTGCACACTGCTCCTGCAGTGGACCCCAGTCTGCCCCCCAGCACCCACACCCAGCAGCTCACAACTGCCCACAACTCCAATTTCAGGGGATCTGACGCCTCCGTCCTCAAGAGGCACCTGGCCTCCTGTGCACATACCCGGGCACACACACATACACAGCATCTTAAAGAAAAAAATATTTAATGTAACTGTCACACTCAAATAAGCAAAGTTTGGATTTATGACAATAAACTACTGATAAGAGTACTAATTCATACAAAACTGGAATATTAGAAAATAGGCATTCTCAAGATTTACCCCATGAGACTATTAAAAGCTGTCAGCATGAGTATATATAAACTATTTTCATTTCAGAATTATTTATAATAGTAAATATTTGGGAACAACCACAATTTCCAACAATATAGAAGTAACTAAATTATGGTTTATCCAAACATTAATATTAGGGTTTTATTATTTTATTATTAAAGGCAATGCTTATAAAGAATGCTTAATGTAAATATATAGGAAAAAGATTAGAAAAGAAATATACCAAAAAGGCAAATAGCAGTCTTGTGAGGGAGGTGAGAAGATTCATTTTTAAAATATTCTCCTCTTTTGTCCAGTTTTTTTTGCAGAGGGCATGTGCTATTTCTATATTAACATGCAAACACCATATGCATTTTATTAGTGGCCACTCTGGATATGGAAAGGCTCAAAGAAAGCTATTTCAGGCAGGGAACAGCTTGGGCACAGCAGGAGGATGGCTGTGTTTCCCAGTCAGCGGGGAGAGCAGCCATGGAGTGGGGTCATCTGGGGGAAACTGAGAAATAAGACTGCGTGGGCACACAGTGGGCACTGATGGGGTTTTAGAAACAGCTGACAAGCTGAGACTTGACTCTGGAGGCCACAGGAAGTCTCCGGAGACTCTTCCAGAACATGCAGGGAGCAGCTGCTGGCAAGGTGGCCTGGGAGGTGCAGAGCAGGTCGGGAAGGTCTGGAGTTGCCGCCAGCTGTGATAGAGAGAGGCAGGCTGGAGGAGGGTGCAGGGAAGAGGGGAGAAGCTGAAGGAGACACCTTGGTGGCTCTTGGTGACAGATTCGGGATGATGGAGTCTTAAGTGAGTGTCCATGGTGACACCAGAGTGTCCATCTGGATGGACAAGGCAGTGGAGAAATTATAAGTATAGTGGGGATGTGGAGCTGATTTAGAAGTGGAAGGAGAGGATGGGCGAGGCTTGTAAGAGTCCAGGACACTGGTGCTGTGTGCTCAGCCCGAGCCGGGTGTTTGACCTTAAGGGGTTTTAACACTATTCCCACGTATGCTAACGTTTACAAACACTCGCACAGCTGTCTTGGGAAGCCACCCCCTCCTCACCAATGCTCTGATTGCTCCATCAGCTTTCTACATTGGATTAAGCTGGTTCGGAATCTTTTCGTATTAGAAGCACTTTCACTGGAGTACATTGTTTTTGTATTTTTGTGACAAGCAATCCACACTCAGTTCTGTCCATAATGAGCCCTGTCAGTTACAGCCTCTGCACCTTTAGGGTTTCTTCACGTCCACCATTTCTACCCAGCTTTGCCGGTGTCAAATTCTATAGATTATTTTTACTCTTTTAGTTCTCAGTGAATAATAAATGGGCCGTGTTGTTTTAGCTGCTGTCTTCTATTTCACTTTTATGATTTGTTTTCATTATTTGTGTGTGTGTGTGTGTGTGTGTGTGTGTGTGTGTGTGTGTATGTACTAAGTGTCCAGAAGCATTGGATCCCCTGGAGCTGGAGTTACCAGCCATTGTGTGAGCTGCCTGAGGTGGGTGCTGGGAACCAAACTCAGGTCCACAGCAAGAACAATGTGTTCTCTTAACCGCTGAGCCATGGATCCAGCCCCCATTTAACTTTTTTGTTGTTGTTGTTGTTTGCTTGTTTTGTTTTTTTGGTCTTTCTACTAGAACTGTGTTGTTACACACACACACACACACACACACACACACACACACACACACACACGTTCAAACGCTGGAGTTAAAGAGCCATGGAGGTTACAACACGCTTTCTTAGCTGCACTGTTTCGTAGGCATCAACTCAAAGCCTCATACCTGAGGTCAGGCAGTAGGGCTCCTGGCCTCTGGCTCACCTAGAGGCCATGGTAAGTCTTCCGCCTCTGCCTGAGCTCTAGTCTCCTCGTGGAACAGGGGCGGAAGGTGGGCCACCAGGGACATGCCCCATTCGCCTCTGCCAAGGCTAGTGAGGATTCCCGAAAGAGGAGGCAGGAGGAGTTTGCCTGGGGAAAGGGAGGAGGGGAGCCCCAGGCTCTTCAGAAGGGGGGTTCCAGTCTTGGGTTCTCTCTTGAAGGAAATGCAGAAGGATATGGATGAAAAGATGGATGTTTTAATAAACACACAGAAGAACAACAAGCCGTAAGTGTCGCCCACCCCTAAAGACCCCTCCCTTGACTTGGCTCAGCACACTGGGGGCTCGGAGAAGGCACCCCTCAACGGATTGTCCTGGCTCTGCCATTACAGTGGCTGGAAGTCAAGGCCTTCCATGCACCTGTGGACTGGTAGAAACAGTGTCCCCAAATCTCTGCCCCCTCCTGACCCGCCAGTCCCCTTCAAAAACAACCAAAGGAGCAGCAGGTGGTCGGGCAGATAGGAAAGATGGACAAAGATTCCCAGCCCAAACTCAAGAAACTGGAAGAACCCAATGGAGCATCGTTGACTAGTGACAAGACGATGGTGTCACAAAAAACGAAGGATAGCCCCCTGGATTCCCTTCATACGTGTCAGAGTTGCTGCGTAAGTGAACCCCTGCCACCCTAGGCACCGGTTCGAGAGCCCTGGGCTGCTCCTGCCCTGACCTCCCAGAGCCCCGGCTTTAAAGGGCTGGTGGCATCCTCTTGCCAGTCCTTGGATGGATCCCTTAGTCTAGAGACCTTCCTTAGCTGCCCTGCCTCCTGGGCTGTGGTGAGTCTGAAGCCACGGTTGTGCGGCCAGCCTTGGATGTGCCTACTCCCGAGTTCTGCTCAGTCACTCCGTCCTTCTCTATAGCAAAGCCTGATGAGGTGCCCCGCAGGCTGGCCAACTTGGACCAGGAAAAAAAAAAAAATGATCTTTCTTGTGCCGTTTCTGTCCTCTACAGGAGAAATGTTTGTTGTGTGCCCTAAAGACCAGCTGCAATCGGGGGTAGGTAGCTCCATCCGAGAGGTGCCTTCTCAGTCGGGTGCCTTGTGATCCCCAAGGGAGTGTACTCAACTCCCTTTTGCAGCAAGCCCCGTCTGTGGCTCTACAGGGAATAGGGACTGTGAGTGAATCCTGCCTCCCTGCATAAGCAGCCAGCCAGGCATAGAAGATGTGGCACCAGGAAAGAGGATTTGGGTGGCCACGCCTAAGTTTGCTGTCCACAAGATCCCTTGGCGGGGAGGGTACACCTTCAGCTGCAGCCTCAGCCTGGCCCCAGGTCCCCCACCTTTCTCCCACCTAGCAGGAGGCCTTCACACCACGCCTGGGCGCCCTTTTCACCTTTATCATCTGGAGCTGCTTTCTGATTTATCTGTACTTCAACCCCGATGAGATGGAGTATGTGCTGCCAACCTAGCACAGCCGTGGAGCCAGCCCACCAGCAGCTCTGGTTCATCCTCTCTATGAGCTGCACAGCAGGGTTTTCTGCCCTTTTCAAGACCCCAGCCCCACCCCTGCCCAGGCTTCTACCTGGGGATTAAAGTCTTTCATTTAAAGTCTAAAGACTGTCACCGTTTTGAGTACCAGCCCAACACTTGGGTGCCCGGAGCATTACTTTTTTTGTTCTAAATCAGTCTAGTTCAGACCCTGGTTGATCCTCTTTCTTTCCCTGTTGGCTAGTGGGACATTCTATCTGAGTGATCTCAGTCTTGTCTCTCCCCCTCCACTGGGCCCTAAGAAGTCCTCGGTCAGAGCTCCAAGATGGCTCGAAGATACCAAGCACCAGTCTGGGTAGACTCAAGACACACACTCAGGGCCCTGCCTACCCATCCCCCACACTCTGCACCCCTGCAGTGTGCCCTGGATGCCATGGGTAACTCTGGCAACTCTGAGCCTCAAGTCCGACAGAACTGCACTGCTCCCTTTGAAGGTCTTATCACCAAGTAGCATGGTGCCCTCCTTGGGCTCTGGTGAGGTCCACCGACTTTCCACCTTTGAGAGTTTCCTCCCTCTCTCCCTGGCTGCCTCCTTCCCTCCCTCCCTCCACTCCAAAGGAGCAATGTCCCCTCAAGGACCTTTTATAAACTGGAGATGAGCTGGCCATGGTGGTGCTTGTCGTTGATTTCAGCACCCGGGAGGCAGAGGCAGGCCAAACTCTGTGAGTTCAAGGCCAGTCTGGTCTACAGAGTCAGTTCTAGGCCAGCCAGAGCAATGCAGTGAGGCCCTGTCTAAAAATAAACAAATAAATAAAACCCACAAACAACAACAAAAACAAATTAGAGATGAGCCAGGAACCACCAGCCTCTCCCGTGCCCGCCTCAAGTCCCTTAGTGAGGGACATTAGAACTGGCTGCTAGCTTGAAATGAGAAACGCAGAGAAAACAGTATTCTAGTGACTATCTCACCATGGGTGTGACTCTTTGGCTTTGGCTGGACAGGCCTCTGTATTCATTGCACACCAGTTCTTTCATCTTTTCTTGTTGGCTGCTTCCACGTTTAGACGGTTTTAATCAGTCAAGTTCGTAATGGTAACAGTGCAGGCGCGTTTGGTGCTTCAGATACACATTTTAAGACAAAAGCCAAAGCGCAGCTTGGGCCTTGTTGTTGCAGAGTCTGGAGTTTTAGAGCAGTGATGATAAACACACACCACATACTATGTATTATAGAGCATCTATAACTAAGTAGAGTCACCAAACGTGAGGGAACAGGAGCCGGATGGGGCTAGCCCTGTCCTCGTTTCTATCTCCACCATCAACAGATTACCACAAATGGAAGGACTTGGAGCAAGAAGAAGTGGATCTTTCTTTGCTAATGACAAGGTGTCGGAGGACTTACATTACCGCTGGAGGCTTTGGGGGAGAATCTGTCTTTGCCTTTCCCAGCCTCAACGGCTGCCTCCATTTCCTAGCCACCTGTCCTGCCTCCCTTCCTCAAAGCCAGCTACAGTCGGTGGGAGCTTAAGTTCTTTCGTGCTAATCCCACTCACCTGCCCTTCCTTGGGCTCGCTCGTAAGGACTCTCGGGATTACATGAAGCCCACCTAACTTGAAATGTTCTCACTATAGTCGGGGATTTAGCCACGTAATGCAACAGAAGACTAGAACTTGGGTGTCTTCGGAAGGGCATACCCTGCCTACCATTGTGACATCTCAGACCCCAACCCCTGCCAAACGACCGAACCCACAAACACTTTGGAGTGGGGCACTGTTCTTTAGGGTGCTGGTTCCCACAAACTCCATCCGGAGCCTTCCACTAAAGGAATCTCATCATTCTCCCCTTGTGGGATAGATGTAGGAACTAATGAATCGCACAAAGTAGAACTGATGCAGGCTACTTCAGAGATGCAGTGGCTTCCTTCCGTCTTGCTGCCCGTGGAAGCCGCTGCCATGCTCTGAGGCCACTGAAGCTGTGCTATGCCAAGGGACTGAAGCCTCCTTCCAAGAGCCGCCTAACATGCCACGTGAGAAGTGGCTCTCAGACTGGAACTGCAGCTCAGTTGATTGAGGGACTACGTAACATGCAGAAAGGGCACAGCTCCTCAGTACCACATAAAAACTGGCCCCGTCTGCCACTTGAGAATCTCTCCAATCTCTTTTAGAAGGGCACTAACTCCATTCACAAGGGCTCTGCCTTTCAGATGATTGTTATTGCCTATTAGACATTAGTTATTGGAGAGCTGATCACCTCCAGAGGCATCCCCTGCACATTTTAGAGGCAGATGACATCTGAACTCTAGCATCTCCCTTTTTCTACACTACGGATAAGCTCTAGGCTCCTCCCCACGGCCATTTACTGTTTTCTAGGGACCTACTTCTCTTCCTTCTTGGGATATTGAGGGTTGAAATAAGTCTGTTTTTCTCAACCCCGAGACCCCAGAACTAACACACTGCTCCGTGAATGAATATATAGTATTTGATCAGCACCAGCCTTCAAGGCTCAGAAGATGAAGTTCAAATTAACACTGAGAGAAATCAGAATAGTTCTGGTTAAAGTTTATATTTATTAATTAATGACAGAAAAGGAAACTGACCTGGAACACAAGAGAAAGCCCCTGTGACCCTAAAATACAACCCCCCAGTTCTGTTTTTCTAAAAAAAAAGAAAGAAAGAAAGAAAAAGAAAGAAAGAAAAAACCTTTCCCCCTCTGAATCAAGTGTCTATAATCATAATTTGATTAATTAGAAAATGTTTCCCAGCCCTCTGCTTCTTAGCCTTCATCTGCTGGTTCATTATTCCTAGCATGGCTAAGATGAGAATATAAATTTGTTTAAGAGGAATGTTAACTTTATTAGAAAAGACAATGAACTTGAACCCTGATCCCAAACCACAGTCTCTGGCAGGGGGCCCGAAGCTTTGGGATTCAAGCTCTGACCTATCTATCCCCGAGGCTCTATCCACCTGTCTCTCTGGGGCCTTCCTGTCCTGTCACACTCCCCACAGCCAGCAAGAAATTCCCCCACCTGTGCCCCCAAATCCCTCCTTGGCCCAAAGTCACAACAGAGAGAGGTTCTTGTCCTCGCTCAGTTTTCTGACAGCCAGGGCACAGGGGGATCCCTAGCCCCACACTGGACCTTGGTCCCCAGCAGGATTTCCCCCAGCCCATCTGTCTACCTGTCTACCTGGTGCCCTGAATGAGACATGCAGGAGACCTGGAGTGCTGAGCCCCCTGAGCAGCGAGGCCCGGCACTCCTGTCAGAGCTCTTCCGGTCATGCTGAGGGTTTCCGAGAAGGTGAATAAAGTCCGAAGCCCAGAGTGAGCTAGTGAGGGAGCTGCCTTTCCTCTGTGCCATCCCATTTGTCTGTCTGTAGCCTCCCGAATGGACGGATTCCTGCACTCACACACCTTTGCGGAGGACCAAAACCAGGCTTTCACAAACGATAGGAAAGCACCCTTCCATTGGGCTACACGCCAAGCCCTGTGCTCTGTCCCTGGCAGCTCTGAAGCCCTTTCCTAGAAGACAGGAACTCCACAGAATTCACTGATTTCCCCTCCCCTTCTACTGCCTGATAGTTGTTGTGGATGGATGCGTGCATTTACAGAGCATATTGGTGCCACTTTGTCATTTAGGCTCGGCAGTTTCTCTCTTCCTCATAGCAAACAAGCAACCAAGGTCCACAGCACACCCCCTACCCCTGCTTTGGTTTTGAGACAGGGTCTTGAGTAGCCCAAGCTAGCCATGAAGTTGCTATGCAACTGAGGCTGGCTTTGAACCCCTGATTCTCTGGCATCCACCTCCTGGGTGCCGGGATTACAGGCATGTACCACCATACCAGGCTCCATGGGAGCTTTTAATATTTCCTATGTCTATTGCTAAAGCGCCCCGCCCCCAGCTCCCATATTTCCATATATACCTTAGTCCAAGAGCTAGGCATCTAGATTCTGAATTACAAGTTTCTGGTTCACTCCTCTCAACTCAATAGATTTTACCCCAAAGCCTGCCATCCTGTGTGCAGCATAGCACTCCTCAATATATCACCCCAACTGCTGCGTTCCTTCAAGTCACCCCTTGTTCAAACACCGCCAGAGCCCACTTCATATGGGACAGTGACATTCCTCATAACTTCCCCCTCAACACCCTCCATTTCTACACTGTCTCCCCGAACACGCCCATCTGTAAACCGTGTGCTCTAAGGGTCCTCACTGGGTCCTTCCCATATTCTTGCTTTGCTCACCTCATCCTCTCGGTCCTGTGAAACCCTTCTTGGCTGCCCTCTGTCTCCACCCAGCTGAGTCAGTCACTCGGCCAGAGGCATTTTGCACCTCCTGGCTCTGCCAGCCCCTGTGCATCCCCCTTCTCCGTGCAGTTGGTGGGCATCTCTTGAAGAGCTCATATTGCCGTCCTCTGTCCTCAGCGTGGAGGTCACACATGGTGCTAAGGGAGGGTTGTATGGTGGTATTTTATTTGTACTGAAATGTGA